TTTTGCTCTCTAGATCACAAGTCCTGAATTTTTGTTAAGGAATTATACTCACCAAATAAAAACTCAAAAAACATATTCCACTTATCAAATTGGTGAGGATAAAAAAAAAATTAAAATGCTCAGTGTTGGTAAAGGTATAGGAAACTAGCATTTACATACTTTGCTGGTAAGAGTATAATTTGGTAGAAGCTTTTTGGAGAATATGATAGTAAGTACCAAAGGCCTGGAAGCTATGCATGCCCTTTGATGTACAAATTCCATTGCTAAGAATTTATGCTAAGGAAAGAATTAAAGATTTGGAAAAAGATTAACACCAGGAATGTCTATCTAAGCACTGTTACTCATAGCATGAAGTGGAAATAGTTGACATGTCCAAAAGTAGGGATTAATTGTCATATATCCCTCAAATGGACTACATTGTAGCTGTTTATATTATGGAAGGGTGTTTATATTACATAAAAATTATAATAAGTATGGCATAACCTTATATTTGTAAAAAAAAGTCTACATGTAGAAAAGATTTTGGAAGTTGTTACTTGGTTTTTCTGGATGAGTGAATTGTGAATATTTTCTTTTGCTTGTCAATATTTTTTAAGTTTTCTATAATGAAGATGCATTGCTGTCATCATTTTAAAAACCAAGCATTTTTTTTTAATTGAAAAAGGAAACTAGGGCTATTACAGCCAAAATTTGGACTAAATACTGTTGAATCATCTTTCTCATTTGTTTTTTTGACCATGCCATCTATCCCTCACTCTATAATCTACATTAGATTTTGCTTGGCTCACATGTTGTGCAGTCTGGCTGAGGTAAGAGGGGAAATTCTCCTGGTTTAATTTCTACGGCAACAAGAGTTGAAAGAAACCTTAGATATCATTTAGTCTAGTCCTTTTCATTTTACAAAAGAAGAAACTCCAGGGAGATCAAGTGATTTACTTAAGGTCACAAGGTTAGTTGAACAGCAAGTACAATCCAACCTTCAGATTCCGGGTCCACTTATTCCCAAGAAATTGGCTTAATACTTCCCATCAATGATCCTGGCTGCCAAGCTAGCTTTGCGAAGGGGAAATAGCAACTCTGCCAACTGGAAACCCCAAGAGAAATCATAAGTCAGTGAGGCAAAAACCTAGTTACTCTTTTACTACTAAAATCAACTCTCAAGTATCAGAAAAAACAGAAAAAATATATGAAGAGAACAGAGAGGGCCTTCCATGATGTCTAGTATGGACTCCTTTTGGAGGATACGGATTTTGAAACAAAGGATGCAGATTCTGTGACTAAGTCACTCACAAGTGCCCTAGGTTAATGACTACTACTATATATGTGATTTACAGCGATATATGCCCTTAAATAACAAAATAGTTGATATATTTATGGTAGATTTGCAGTTTCTAACAAGGTAATGATTATATGGCTTTTTACATATTTATTTTCCTCCATGCATAAACAAAGAATCTGAACAACACGTATCAGTGGTTCTCAAAATGTGGTCTGCAATCCTTGGGGGTGGTGGTATGGGGAAGGCTCCTTGAGACCATTTCAAGAAGTCTGTGAAGTATTATTTCATAATACTACTAAGACTTTATTCACCTTTTTCCCTTGGTCAACATTTGCACTGATGGTGAAAAGCAATGGCAGATAAAATTGTTGGCACCTTATAACAAATACAGGCAGTGGCACCGAACCGTCCTAGCCGTCATTATATTCTTCATGCTAAAAACAATGTCAATTTCACTTTAGGATGCCCTTGATGAAACAGTAAAAATTATTAATTTTATTAAACCTGAATCATTGAATATATATGCGTGGCAAAGTATGCATAACGCACTCCTGCTGCACACCTGAGCACAACAGTTGTCCAGAGAATCTGGTCATCCAAATCAAAAGCACTTGTGCAACTGATTGAATTGTGAGCTGAAATAGCTCCTTTTTCATGAAACATCATTTGTACTTGAAAAAAATGACAAACTATGGTTATTCAGACTTAACTATTTGGCAGAAATTCTCTCAAAAATGTAACAAAGTGAGCCATCAGTTCAAGAAAAACAACTAATAGTATTTGTTACCAATGATAAAATTTCAGCTTTCTAATGAAAATTCAAATTTTGAAAAATTGTATCTTCCACCCTGAGTTTGCCAGCTTCCTAATACTTGAAGACTTTTATGATGAGATGGATGATGATATTAAGAAATATGATTGTTTGATACTATATAATGATATGTGTCAACATGAGGAAAATCTGTATAACACAGTCAACCAGGGTTTTCCAAATGACCAATGTTTGAAATTACAAGATCCATTCAAAGTATAAGACAGACCCATGGATTTAAATGTAACAGAGCAAGAAAAGTACATTGATAGTTTCATATTTCACACTGCCACTAACCTTTAAGAAACTAACACTTGTTAAACTTCGATGTGATACTAAAGAATAGCCAAGATTTTCTAAAAAAAAAAAGCTGATAAAATACTTCTTTTCCAACTACATATGAGTGAGAGGTGAGATTTTCTTTATCTTCTTAAATCAAAACAAAACACTGTAACAGATTAAATGCACAAGCAGATGCAAGAATCCAGCTATCTTCTATTAAGTCACACACTTACTTTGCAAAAGTGCGAAACAATGCCACTGCTAGGAGTTTTTATAAAAAAACAAAACCAGAAAACAGGTGTTGGTGAAGATGTGGAGAAACTGGAACCCTTGTGCACTGCTGATGGGAATGTAAAATGTTACAGCTGCTGTGGAAAACAGTATGGTGGTTCCTCAAAACATTACACATAGAATTACCATATGATCCAGTACCTCCACTTCTAGGTAGATATCCCTAAAAATTGAAAGCAGATACTCAAACAGATATGTGCCCACCAATGATCACAGCAGCATTATTCAAAACAGCCAAAAGGTGGAAACAACCCAGATGTCCATGGATGGATGAATGGCCAAACAAAATTCGGTATATCCATACAGTGGAATATAATTCAGCCTTAAAAAGGAAGGAAATTCTGACACATGCTACAACATGGATAAACCTTAAAAACATTATGCAGAGTGAAATACACCAGTCACAAAAGAACAAAAATTGTATGATTCTACTTGTAGGGGGTGCCTGAAATAGTCAAATTCAAAGAGACAGAAAAAATAGTAGTTACCAGGGACTGGGAGAGGGGATAATGAGATATTTTAATGGGTACAGAGTTTTGGTTTGGGGTGATGAAAGAAGTTCTGCAGATGGATAATGGTAATGGTTACACAACATGCAAATATACTTAATGCCACTAAATTGTGTGCTTAAAAATGATTAAAATGGTAAATTTTATGATATGTGTATTTTACCACAATAAAAAAAAAACTGAAAAAAAATACATTGCCACTCTTCTCACTGTTTTTGGAGGGGGAGGAGTTTGGAAAATAGTTATTTTTCATTAAAAATTTTATTTATGCGTGTAATGAGTTTATCACTGTTTTTTAAATAAACTAATAAATACTTAAAAAATCTCCCAGTTTTCATTTCTAACACAGTAAATATGGAAAGCTAGAACCCCCATAAACAAAAGCTCTTAGGTCCTCAGTAATTTTTGAGAGGTAAAGGGGTCCTGAGACTAAAAAGTTTGAGAACTGCTGTCTTACACGAAATTTATTCTCCCTTCTCACACCTGCCTCATGTTAAGATTTTCACTTGTTGGTATAGCTTCATTTGACAGTTATATCACTTGCAGCCTGCAGACTAAAAGGACAGTCTCAAATATGGTCAAAATCATCACATTAACGCCTTATAATTACTACCGTCCCCGGATGCACCATAACTACGAGGACTGAGCAACACAAAGCCCCACACAGACGCGTGGCAACGCACAATAGAAAACTGTTAGGAAGCTTAAATACTGATATGTCCCAAAGTAGTTTTATAAGGACCCAGCAAGAAGCGCACATTTCCTCTTTTCTGTTGGAGCTTCATTCGGATTTACAATTCAAGGCTAGATTTGGGAACGAGGGTGGTGGCAGCATTGTTTCTGAAAACCACTCCATCCAGTGTATCCGTGCAAAGAATTTAATTCTCTCACCATCTTGCTACTGGTCTGTTGCAGAGGGGTGTGGTTAGGGAGCCAGGAAGCAATCCAAAACAGCAGCTGAGGCTCCCCAAACCGTGTCCAGGCAATAATTTCTTCCATTTGGGGCCAAGTTAATTTGCCCCGGCAAGAGGCCGAATGTTTTATGCGGAGAAGGTAAATAAAAGGGAAATTAGAAAGCATGGACGAAATAAGCTGCAAAACCATAGCGGTTTCATCTTGTGTGGATGTTAAACGATTTGTATGCTAATAATGTGCATAAGGGGCAAAAGAGAATTGTTATTCCTGAGTCTACAGCTGTGGCACTTTTAATGACAAGTCTGTAGGTCTGGACGGGGATGAAAGTCAAATAATTTTCTTATCCGGACCATCTTTCCGCATTCCTTTCGGGTCGGGCCTGTGACCCGTCTCGCTGACTGCAGCTGAGGCAGTCCCAAACAAAGGGGAATGGATGCCCTCCCGAGGGAGCGCAGGAGGGAAAGGTGGCCCCAAGTTCCCGCGCCAGGTGTCCCTGCGGGTAGACCATGCGGGCGGCGGGGAGGGAGGGTCCCAGGAGCGCCGCAGGGGTGCGGTCGGGAAAGGTTGCGCCGGGGCGACCGGCACTGACCGGGCCGAAGACCCGGCCCTACCCGCGGCCAAGGTTAACCCGCGCACGGGGGGTACCTGTGAAGGCCTCGCACAGCCGAAAGGCACTGGGCGATCATGGGAGCGCAGAGGCGGCGGCGGCGGGCGCGTCGTCTGCCCGTTCGGGGGTGGAGGAGGCGGGGCGCCCGGGAGCCGGGAGGCAGCCTGGCGGAGGAGGCGACAGCGGCGGCGGCCGGGCCCGCGGCCTCCCACGTGCGGCAGCCCCACGCCGGCGCCCGCTTCAGCCCCGCCCCGGGGGCGGCGCCGGAGAGACCCAGCGGCCGCGAGCCGAGCGCGCAGCCGGGTAGGCTGAGGGGCTGCGGCGGCCGGGGACCGGGGAAGTTTGGGCGACCGCTGGCTGCGCTGCGATCCGGAGCCGGGCTCCAGCCTTGAGGACCAGTGGGCGGGCAGGCTTACGGACGCCCGCGGGCCTGCTGCCACCGTCTCGCGTCCTCTTGTCTGGTAAGGGGCTTCTCTCTGGAAAGGGTGCGTCTCCCACCGCCCGGCACGGGGCCTGCACCGTGCGTCCGCAGCAATACCTGTCAGGGCCGAGGCGGGGCCCGGGTACCAAAGGGAGGGAGAAGGAGGTCGATGCGCTCTGGGGAGAGGAAGGTGGAGAAGTGTGGAGGAGGTTGGACATCTCCATTTCCTTCCGCACCCCTTTTTCCCCCATTCTTTTTTCACCTTCTGCCCTGAGGCCTTATTTAGAACTTGCTACCCCATGGCCTAGAGGCTAAGCTCGCCTTTCAAATAAGCAAACACAATAAACATCCTAGCGGCGGGTACCACACCCTGGCTTTGAATTAGGGAACCTGGGGAGCAGATGGAAGATGCGATTTAGCGGAAATAAGCCGTTAATGCCGGCTGGCCCTGCGCCACTGTTTGGATGCGATAGTATTCCGTGTGAATGAACATGACCGGGGAGCTTCCAGCTCGTCCACGGGAGCATGGCTACTGCAGAAGAGCACTGGCGGGTTGTAGTATCCATCGACTTAGGCAATGATTTCCTGACATGTCTGTTGATTAAAGAGAAATGCCATTTTTATTAAGAATGACACTCAATGGTCGAAGAACCTTTTATTAATGTATTTCCTCATCAAATAACTGTCTCAGCCTGCAAGAGTACGTGGAGTGTAAATTATGCATACATATTTTTAAAAATCTCATGAAATAGAGGAGGATATTCAGCGTGGATCAGCTTCTGAGTCAGCAGTATCAAATCTTCCTTAACTTAGTACTGAGGCCTTTTGGGGATTTCTACATTTGTATCTATACCCCGTCCTTATCTGTATTTATACCATATGTACTATTAAGATAGAGCGAGATAGTCGCTGAGAGTCTAAGCTTATGTTGTACATGTTTTGAGAAAATTTTTACTTTTGCAAATTTTAACATAATCTAATACTACTGGGTATAGATGAAAATATGTCATACATTACCGTAACAGTACTTCACGTCCTTCTGACTCCAAAAAACAGAATGGAGTGAAGGTAATACAAGCTTTTGTTGTTTTTTAACTTTTAATGTAATTTATCACTCCTGTTATTTATAATCTTTCTGAGTGATTCTTTAAAATAACTTAGTTCAGTGTTTTGCTTTTTCTTATCAAGGAAGAGTGTTTAAGCTTTTAAAATGTCATCTATCAAGCACCTAGTTTATGCAGTTATTCGTTTCTTACGGGAACAAAGTCAGATGGATGCTTATACTTCGGATGAACAAGAAAGTTTGGAAGGTAGGCACCTCTTCTTTATGTTCATTTGCGTTATAATTACAAGGACCGAAATAGCTATAAACCTGACTTTATGATCTCTTATGATAAAATCAGAATATTTTGTTGATCTTTCAAAAAGAGAGACCTAACTATAAGATTATCACGTTTCCATTCTTTGAGGCTTGTTTTGTTTTAGTTAACAACAAGATAAGAGGGCTATTGTTCATTTATTGAGCAATTATTATGTGTTAGAACTATGGCTATTCATATTGTAGGGAATTTTCTCTTCACAGTGACTGTTAAGTTAGTGTTATCCCCATTTAAAAGATAAATAAATGAAACCAGATAGATTAAGTAACATAACACAGCTAATATGTGGCAAAGTTGAGATTTAAGTCCTGGTTCTTACGCTGAAGTTCTTCTTGTCTCTTCTTTCAATAGGAAAGCATCAATAAATAAGAATACCTTAGTTATTATAAAAGCACCGTGTAAAAGTCTAATAATTATCTCACTAATAGCTTCCTATTGGGGGCCTTGAAATGAGAGGATTTCACCCTTGTTTTACATGGACTTTAAATGTTAGTCTCTGTAATCTGTAAAGTTGAGCAGACTTGGATGATCGCATCACCTGTTTCCTTGACACCATCTTTTCTGCCTCATGTTTATGCATTATAAAATTTAAATCCAGTGTAATCCTAACAAGATAGAATTCTGAAGATGGACTTGTGGAGGTTCAATGAGCCAGGCTTCCTTGTGGCCTAAAGACTTAATTATTGCAACGAGACAGTGCATTTGGGAGAATTTAATGAATAACAGTACAATTTGAATTTCCCGTCTCGAAGCTCTTTCTCCTATAAAGGGACACATCTGCTAGTTTCCACAAGCACCTCCCTTGTGAATGTGCTTTTAGGAGATGGGAATGAAAATTGGGCATTTGCTCTAAATCTGCTTGCAGTCTGGTGAGATGATGTCTTTTCAGGTGGCAGTGAGAGGATCAGGTGACACACAGTTGGGGAACATTGCAATCAGTCCATTTAATATCAAGGTATTTTTGTCCTCCTTGTTGGCTAGACTATGTGAAGATAAAGGTGATTGGTTATCTAAGGAAAATGTTGGTTATGGTTGCTCTGTAGCCAACAGATAAATGCGATTATTTAACAAAATATCTTTCTTTCCTAATCAAAGGCAGTATACATACTTTTAAAGGCTAAAAAGAAAACTGAGAGTTTTTAAAAAACCAGGATGTTATGTCCTATTTTTAGGATTTTTAGAATACCAATTCAGCCAAAAATATGTGCCTTTAGCTGTTTGTTATATATGGCAGTCAGAAATGGTGCCAATTGTTTTAGACCGACCCCTATTTTTGACTCTGTGAGTCTAATTTAATTGAATATGAAATCGTGTGGAGATGTCTGCCCACCTTCTAGACATTTAAGAAAGCCCTAGGAAAGGAACCTAAGTTGTAGTCCCAGCTTTACCACTGTGGTGAAGCTGTGCGTGTTATCAGCTTTGAGCCTTGTCTTCAGATTGTGTCACCCACTCCTCCTAATTGTTGTCATCTGCTGACATCTTTTTCATGTTTTGACTATGGTGGCTCCTGCTCACTGTCACTTTCTCTAGCAGCACTCCTGTCTTAATTCTTGGAAATGTCTGGAGATATTTTTGATTATCACAACTGGTGGCTGGTATTGCTGGCATCTAGTGAGTAGAGTCCACGGATGCTGCTCAACATACTACAGTGCACAAGATGGCCCCCAACAACAGAAAATGGTCCAGTCCAAAATCTCAGGACTGCTGAGGTTGAGAAACTCTTTCCTAGACCTTGTCATTACCCAAACTGCATCCCCTCCAGAATCTCTGTCTTCAACATTTTACTTCCTCAACACTACTGCCTGTCTTTCCAGCTCACTCCCTCTAGGTCCCTACCCCAACAGTTCTTTGACCCTGCCAATACCTCCAGTCTGTTGATCCCTTAACCTTTTCACATCCCTCTTCTTACCCATCTTAAATTCCATGGTTGATCATTATAATCATGCCCTTGTACATCTCTCCCTTTCATAGAAACCCAACCTTGTTTAAATCCAGCTCTCCACCTACTCTGTGCCTATAACCATTGGCTGTGTGTAGGTAGAGCAAAACACACAGCTTTGCTGACTGGTCCCGCTTTGAATTCATGACCACAAGCCTCAAGCAGAGCTTTAATGCTGCCTGGCAATCACACTGTCTGTTCTAAGTTCATTCATATTTTTTCTCTCCTGGAATACTTTCTGATGTCTTCTCAAACTCCCAAACCTTCTCCCTCTGTACTCATTTTTAGTTGATGACCGTGCTTCCTGTTCCACCAAGAAAAATGAAGTACTAAGAAAACAATTTCCACAGACTCCTCTGGCCCCATCTACCCACCCACCAGCATCTTACCCACGTACTCTGTCTGCTTGCCTGTCTATTACCATACACTATGGATTAAATATTTGTGTCCTCCCAAAACTTATATGTTGAAACCTAATGCCAAATGTGATGGTAGTAGGAGGTGGGACCCTTAAGATTGGGACTTGTGCCCTCATAAAAGAGACTCCAGAGAGCTCCCTCTCTCCTTCCACCATTTGAGGACAGCAAGAAGGCACCAGCTGTGAACCAGAAAGCAGGTCCTCACCAGACATCGAATCTGCTGGTGCCTTGATCCTGGACTTCCTAGCCTCCAGAACTATGAGAAATAAATTTCTGTTGTTTGTAAGCCACTCAGTCTGTGGTATTCTGTCATAGCAGGCTGAACTAAGACCTCATAGATGAATTATCCATTGCCCTTTGTAAATGGAACCACTCTGCCAGCATTCTGGATCCCATGCTGTCTCACCTCCTCCATGAGAGCACTCTGGCTATTCTACCCTCCTCATTTTACATCAGCAAATTTTCACTCTCTACTGGATCATTTCCATCAGAATATAAACCTTCCATTATTTTTCTCTTCTTAAAAAAGCAAAAACAACAATTAATTACTGTTGCCATACTCCCCCAACCCCTCCCCGAACTGCCCACTTTTTTTGCCTCCCTTTTGCCAGAAAACTCTTTGAAAGCGTTGTCAATACTTGCTTTCTCCATTTCCTCTCCTGTTCTTTCTTAAACGCACTCCAGCCAGGCCTTCGCCTCCATCTCTCCATACCTACCGTTCTCATCAAGGTCACCAGTGATTTCTGTGTTGTTGAGTTCCATGGTCAGTTCTCAGCCTTGATCTGACGACTTAGCTGCCACTGATGAAGCTGGTGATCACTCCCCTCTCCCCCTCATCCCACATGCTTTATTCCCATGGCTTCCAGGGTACCTCATACTGTCTTAGTTTTCTTCTTATCTCATTGTTTGCTCCTTCTCTGTCTCCTTTGTTGGGTCCTCTTCTTTCCCTGATGTGGAGTGCCCAGGGTCCAGTGCTTGATCTTCTTTTCATTATCGACACTCACTTTTTCTGGTGGTATCATTCAGCTTCTTGGCTTAAATATCCTGTATTTATATGTTGATATTTCTCAAATGTATACCCTCAGCCAAGACCTTTCTTCTCAACTCCAGGCTTCTATATCCTCCTATCTAGCCTACTAGATATCTCCACTTGTATGTCTAGTAGGCATCTCAAATGGAACATTTCCAAGACTGAACTCCTGATCCTCCCACCCAAAATCTGTTCTATCCAAAACTTCCCCATCTCAGTTGATGGCAACTCCAGTTTTTCAGTTGTTCAGGCCAAAAACTTTGGCGTCATTCTGGGCTCTTTCAGACTCTGCATCTAGTCGTTCAGTAAATTCTGTTAGCTGTAATTTCAAAATAGATTTAGAGTCTGACCTCTTCTTCCCACCTCCACTGATATCAGCCCTGGACAGAACTAAGTATTTCTCATCTCTTTTCCTGTGATAGCCCTAACTGGTCTTTCTGCTTCTATTCTTGCTGCTTCATTGACTGTTCTCAACACAGAGGCCTGTGATCTTTTAAAAGAGTAGGTCAGATTCTATCATTTCTTCACTCAAAATCTTGCAGTGACTCCTCATGTTACTTAGTCACTGTTTAAGGGATCTATATAATTTGGACTTCTGTGATGTATGTTTCACAGACTCTTCTCCTTTCTCATTTGGCTTTAGTAAATTAGCTTCCTCACTCTGAATGCACCAAATCCTTTTGCCCAAGGGCTTTTTTCTAGTTGTTTTCTCTGCCTGGAATGCTTTTCCCCTGGATAAGGGTAACACCGCCATCTCCTTCAAGTCTTTGTCAGATCTGTTTTTTGAATGAGACTTACCCTGAGCACTCTATTAATCTGCAGCCTGCTTCCCTGCTCTGCTCATCACACTCCTATCCTCTTCTCCCTGTCCTGCATTTTATTATTTATTGTTTATTGTCTACCTCTCCATCCCCCACTAGAATGTGAACCCCAAGAGGTCAGGGATCTTTTCTGTTTTATTCATTGGTATATCCAAAGTGTCTAGAAAAGTGCCTGACACATGGTAGGTTCTCAATAAATATTTGTTGAATTGAATTGATGAATCAAATAAAGTGATCCTGGGCATATCATTCAGCGGGTCTGTATCTTAATTTCTAAGTCTATTAGGTGGACCTGTCTGCTCCCTCAACATCTAGTAGATTTGTCAAGAGAATCAGAATCAGTGATAGCAGTTACATAGCTTTTGAATAAAGCGCTACACAGATGGGATATGGTATTATTGCATAAAATTCTTCACTTGTCCTTCTCTTTATCAGTACCAAACAGACTATCATTATTTGGAGTTAAAGTGGAACAATAAGTATTTCTTTGGATTTTTATGATTTATTCCTGAATATAACCTCCTAAAAGAAGGATCAAATGTAATAATCCTTGTTTCATAAATGAGAATCTTGAGGGTAAAGTAAGATAAATTCTTGCGCCCAGGTTATCTGACTTGGGGGGTGGGGAGTTGGATTAATAATGATGATGAGATAGTTCTGAGTTCCAAGGCTGTGGCGGCTTTCTTCACTAAACCATGTGTTTCTCTAAATATGTGTTAGTGTTGAACACTAAACATTTTGGCAACTAGGTTTACTTATCAAAGCAATTGTGTTTACTTATATGTAGAATTTAAAATAGCCAAACTTATAGAAGTAGAGAGTAGAATGCTGGTTGCTGGGGGCTGAGGTAAGAGGAAATGGGGGGGCCGGTCCCATGGCCAAGTGGTTAAGTTCGCACACTCTGCTGTGGTGGCCCAGGGTTTCACTGGTTTGGATTCCGGGTGCGGACATAGCACCACTCATCAAGCCATGCTGAGGCGGCATCCCACATGCCACAACTAAAAATATACAACTATGTACCAGGGGGCTTTGGGGAGAAAAAGGAAAAATAAAATCTTTTCTTTTAAAAAAAAAAAGAGGAAATGGGGAGGTGATGGTCAAAGACTACAAAGTTTCAGTTAAGCAAGATGAATAACTTCTGGAGACCTACTCTACAGCGTAGTGCCTGTAGCTAACAAATACCCTATTGTATGCTTAAAATTTGGTGAGAGGGTAGATCTTATGTTAAATGTTCTTCACACACACACACACACACACACAGACTAATAAAAGTGGACAAGAGGTAACTTTGGGAGGTGATGGATATGTCTATGACCTTGGTGGTGATGGTTTCATGGGTGTATACTTATCCCCAAACTCATCAAGTTGTATACATTAAATAATGTACAGCTTTTTATATGTTAATCATACTTCAGTAAAGTGGTTAAAAAAAAACCAAACAATTGTGTTTAGAACAAAACAGCCACCTCCTTTAGTAATGCTTAATTGAATCTAGTATGTGCCAAATCTGTGTTCTAAGGTTCGTGGCAGCAGAGATAACGGAGCTGGACTGGATTGCCTCGACAAGAGAGAGCGTAAAAATCCCTCTGTCACCATGTGGACTTTTCACTTGTCAGTGTTTAGCTCTGAAGAGCCATCCTCTGGTTTTTGGTTAAGGGCTGGGTTGGGTTCTGCCCATCTCTCACATGGCTGTGAGTTAATGCTTTGAGGGGGGAGAAGTGCTCTCTTCCACAGATTTTATTGTTTTTATTTCCACCGAAATTAAACTGTTACCTCCACTGTAAACAAAGAAGTAGATTAAAATTTATTGAACATCTACTATTTGCCAGACTGTGTTAAAGTCAAAGGTGAATAAAACGTAGCCCTTATCCTCAAGGAGGCAGTCTGTGATGGGAGACAGACATTTAAGTGCATATAATACAGTATGCGAAGTATAGTAAAGGAACATGTGCCAGCTACATGACCCAGTAAAGAAAATGACCAACCTGATCAGGGAGGAAAAATGTCGATCAAGAATAAATATATACATATACATACACACATACATTTATTATTATTTTAATTAAGTGTCTTCACAGCAATGAGAACCTTTTTCCTTGTGGTCCAGTGTTTTTAGTGTGAGTACAACTAAAGGGCAAGAATGACTGCTTGGCAGGAATAGAAAGGGAGAGAATGAGGGATAGGTAAACAGCGGATTATTTTCCATCTAAAAGGCGCTTGGATTTCTTGTAGTTGGTGACCTAGTTGCTTATTCAGTTTCTTTTCTAAGGAGAATTGCTCTGTGGATAGTGAAAGTAACGGTGTTTCTTTTATGACAGAGGTAGTTTTCTCAGGACCACAATTAATACATAACATATCTTTTAAAAGTCACGCAAATATAAGTGAATCTATAATAAGTCAGACAGAGAAAGACAAACAGCATATGATCTCCCTTATATGTGGAATCTAAAAAATAAAAATAAATGAATAACCAAGCTGTAGATACAGAGAACAGATTGGTGGTTGCCAGAGGTGGAGGTGGAAGGTGGGAGAAATAGGTGAACTGTTTTTGTTTTTAGTTTAAAGAAATTGAAAAGAAAGGTCATGCACCAATATAAGAGTATCTATTCCACACTGTCTGGAATTCCACTGGACATCTTGGCTACATTCTCATCTTGTTGCGCCAGGGAAGAATTCCTTTTCAAAGGAGAGCACTCTCAGGATAAGAATCTGCCTCCATTCCTCTCTGTAGGTACTTGCAGAAAGGACAGAATTTGCTTTCTTCACTGTTATTCCCCTAGTTTAGACTCCTTGTTGGTTTAGATCATTTAAGTAGGAACCCATCTGGTTTTCCGCTTCCACTTTCTCCTACAGCTTCCATCTCTAATCCATTCTTAACATTCCTACTGGACTTTTAATTCTAAACACATACCTAGGTGTTTTTCTCTACTAAATTGTTTAATGGCTCTCCATTTGCCCATAGCATGAAGTCCACATTCTTTAAAATGTTATTCATGGTGACTTGTCATCCAACAACATATTTCCTTTCTAGCATAATCTCCCACTGTCTTTCCACGCAGTCTGTTCCTTAGTCATACCAGTTATCTTGTCATACACCAAATGTGGATGAGGCACCAATCACCACTTAGCATGCTATGTATTTTACATACTGTGTTTTTTGCCTCCTTCTATTAAATGGATAGTGATTTCTGGGTTTTTTGGTGAGGAAGACTGGCCCTGAGCTAATACCTGTTGCCAATCTTCCTCTTTTTGCTTACGGAAGATTGTCGCTGAGCTAACATCTGTGCCAATCTTCCTCTGTTTTGTATGTGGGACACCGCCACAGCATGGCTTGATGAGCGATGTGTAGGTCCGCACCTGGGATCCAAACCTGTGTACCCTGGGCCACCGAAGTGGAGCGTGCAAACTTAACCACTACACCACTGGGCCGGCCCCAAATGGATAGTGATTTTTGTTTATTAGGTTAACTATTGCGTCTCTACCACTTAACAATAGCAACTTGCACATAGTAGGTACTTAATAAATTTGTATGCATGAGTGAATTTTTAAAGCTAACCTATCTTCACTTAAGTAAGTACACCGAAATCAATATTTAGTGCTTCCTATGTGCCATAGACTGCTTCTCTTACTGTTTATAATCAGGTTGAGAATTGTATTTGTCACATTAAAAATTTTTTTTAATTAGTTTTATTCAAGGCATTAGGACATTGGTGGTTAATCTAATATTGGTAGAGGGAAGTAAGTTGTTGTTCATGACTTGCTTCAACAAGAATATGATGTAATGCACATATTGAGAAATTATATTCTAGGGAACATTTTTCTTTAAGTGAGGAATGAGAAATCAAGTTGTCTTCCCTTAATAGCTGGTCTATAAACAGAAATCTCTGTGCAGCTGAACCGTTTAGTTTTCCTTATGTTCTGTGATCATAAATGCTAAATTCCCACAGATTGCAGAGTGCGGATTTATACCAGGAAAAAAGGTTGTTTCTTTTTTTAGGTTGCTGATTTTTTTTTTCACTGTTAAAATTTGTTTCAAGTTGCAATTCAGTGCTTGGAGACAGTTTTTAAAGTCAGCCCAGAAGATACACATCTAGCAGTTTCACAGCCTTTGACAGAAATGTTCATGAATTCCTTCTGTAAGGTAAGTTGTCATTGTTTTCTTGTGAGTATCTGATTTAAGTATGACTGCAATATTATGTTGGATTGTTACTATTTGAGGGGCCAGGCTGATAAGCAACTAGCTTCTTCTTGGGTGTAAGATAGTCCACATAGATGCAGTTTAGGACCCACAATATGGCTCTTTTAATGTGCTTTAGATTTTCATATTATTAGCCATTCTCATTCTCTCACCTTCTTTTATATATAATGACATGTCTTGGTTGACTTCTTCAGTCCTTTACAGCATCTGAGTATTTTTAGATTTCTGACATCTTACTTGACATACCCCTAAAACATGGATTACAAGTTAAAAACAGAAGTGTTAAACGTTTAGGAAAAAACCATGTAGAAATAGACTCATCAGGAATTGAGTCATCATTTTGAAGCAGATTTCAGAAATTTGGCCACTGATGAGGCTCTTTAAAACAGGCAACGTTTTGCGGTCAGTATGCAAAAGAAAGACTGAAACCCAGGTTTTCTGATCCCCGCTCCTGAGGACTGTTTACATGGCCTCTGGTTTCTGGCCTTTTCAGGAAACATGGACCATAAGATTATCTGGAAAACTTTAAAGTTAGTGAGTTTAGGGCCCCAGGATGACCTCCTATGTGTGTTTTCATTACATTTTGGTGCCTCCCGGACTCCTTTTGTTGTTCTGGCTCTGTATTCAAGCTTCAGTACAGAATGAGGAACTCAGGAGAGAAACTGAAACATGTAACGTACGTGTGGTGCAGCCTGGCAGGGACCTTGCTGTGAATATCACATTGACTGTTTCTAGAACTTGTTGGAAAGAGGTCCTTAGAGTTGCAATGAAGATGATACTTGGCAGTAAACTCCTCCCTCTTTTTATCCTTAGGAAAAGAATAATACAGTTATACATTAATTCATCAAACATAAATTCTAATTACGTGACAAGATGTAAGGAGATGGTGGCACGTGTCTGTGTTCCTCGTTGGGAAATTCCCCTTTTCTTCTTTTTGCAAGCTGTGGTTCTTCCACTGTCTTGGCTGCGGCCTCCTTAGGGAACCCCCTTTCGGTGGCTGGAAATGGCTAGGGCTGAAGCCAACCTTCTTTACTCCAGCATGCCCGAGAGGCCTGTGCTTGGGACAGCGTTTGGACTTGCTGATTCTGTAGCTCCTGTCGCCACTGACCTAGCACTGAAGAGATCAGAACTTTTTTTCGCCTCCCCGGAAGCTCAAATTGACTTTCATACTCTGTTTAAATAAGAGCTCTTTGTGCTTTTCTTTTGCTATTTCTCTCTGATTGTATTTAATTGTAAAAATTTCTTGCTTACTATTTTTAAGATATCGTTTCTTGAAACCGGCTGCATAGTATACTGCATAGTGTTGTTTGTGGTATCAGTCCTTTAGCACTCCTGGTTAACAGCCTTGGCTCCATTACATATGTGTTTGTTAGCAGAGTATGGCAGAGAAAGTCTAAAACTTGTCTGAAGCAGCATGAAGATTGTTATAATTAAAGAAACTATTTGTCTCACCCAGTATCCTTGGTTGTTCTATCGGTCATTTTATTTTTAGGATACTGCTTTCCTGTTTTTCCCCCCAATTAAGTTTATATACTAAGTGGATTCATTCCTTTTATATAAAGTAGATAACACATCCCCACATCATGACCTGTTTAAATGTACTCAATGAATGTAAGAAATCATTTTCAAAGTTGTAAAACTGTGACGATTTCATTAAAATAATTCGCAAGGATTTAGACAGAATGCATTATAATCCATTTTTCAATATGCTATTTTTCTGACCCAAAAAAGTCACTTTTTTTTGGTGCATAAACTGCCCAGGCTTGTGAGAAGAGTTGAAATAGAAGGAACCTTAAAAGCAAGTACTGCAGGGCGGTAATGCGTCTTTGAACTACACTTATATCCTGAGTGACCATAGTCAGTTTTAAGGAGTGACTTCTACTTATAAAGATTCCCATTTGATTCTGTACTTTTTATTTTGATGAGTTATGTTTCGGAAAACTGATTATTAGAGAAATATTTTTTAAAAATAAGAATGATTCATACACTTTATCAGTGATTTTGTACTTGTGAATATTTGTGTGTAGTTAGCAAAGTGTATTTCCAGTGTGAGAGCCATCAAGTCTAATGAAAGTTTAGTCAAGACAAAGGTAATGGTGGATATATTTTAAATACAGTACATGTAGACATATAGTAAATGTTGGCTATAAATTATGCTTTCTTGAAAATTGCAGATTTATTTATGAACTTCAGAATCAAGTTTAAAGGCAACGCAATTTTAAAAAGATCTTTCAAAAATGGAAAAATGCATTGTGTTCCCAGTGCCACTCAAGATATTTATAAATTTTCATTTAGTTTTTATAAGCACCTTTGGTTTGAATCTTATTAATGCAAAAGAGGTTTGAGGATGATAGTATAGTGCTAAAAACAGGAAATTTATACTGTTTTTTATCTTATGATGAAATTAATATATGCCTATTGTTTTAAAAAAATTTGGACAATATGGAAAGATATAAAGAAGAGACTGAAAATTTCACATGCAAATATCACTACTGTTAACCTTTTGTCTACACCTTTCCAGTCTTTGTTTTTTAGCCTGTGTGTGTGCACATATTTAAATAATAGGATAATATTATAAATGCTTATTTGGGTAAACTGTGAAATTGACTTAGTAGGATATCTCTTATGATGTTACATATTATGTTTCAAAATTGTCACTAATATAAAAAAATCCTTTGAACATATTTCTATTCCTATTCTTTGTACACTGGTTCTATTTTTTGTTTATGAAGTAGGATTTCTGGGTATAAGGAAAGCAAGTAAAAAAAAATTTTGATTTTTCTTTTTGCCCATTATCTTCTAGTAAAATTCCACATATTCATTTTTCTAATAAAAGTATGTGAGAAGATTTTTCCCCTATTTCTTGCCAACACTACTATTTAGGTGTTAGATTTCATGACATGGAATGATAGATGATTTACTGTAATCTGGGTAATTTATTATTACTTTACTTATAGTTCTCTGGGATGACACTTTACGTAGCTAAATGGAAGTATACTGATTTTTATTTAATTTCAGAATGACATTCTGCCTCTTTCAAACTCAGTGCCTGAAGATGTGGGAAAAGCTGACCAATTAAAAGATGAAGGTGAATATTTCATAGAAAAATTGCTTATTTAGTAAAAATTTCTGGAACTCTAGAGAAAGTGACTCTGTCAATTGATAAGATTCTGGATTACACTGCCAAAACTGGATTGTCATAAGTCCACATGGCATTTATGAAGCAGAAATTAATGTGGTAGGGAAGAAGCCTGGAAATACAGAAGGGCCTGTAGGCAATATAAGTCTGGCTTACTTCAAAAGAAGCAGATCCTTGGGGCCGGCCCTGTGGCGGAGTGGTTAAGTTTGCGTGCTCTGCTTCAGCGGCCCAGGGTTTCACCGGTTCGGATGGCACCACTCATCAAGCCATGCTGAGGCGGCATCCCACATGCCACAACTAGGAGGACCCACAGCTAAAAATACAGAACTATGTACTGGGGAACTTTGGGGAGAAAAATGAAAAATAAAATCTTTTAAAAAAAAAAGCAGCAGATTCAGGGCTGGCCCCGTGGCTGTGGTTAAAGGTCCATGTGCTGCGCTTTGGCAGCCTGGGTTTGCAGGTTTGGATCCTGGGTGTGGACCTACTCCACTCATCAGCCATGCTGTGGAGGCATCCCACATACAAAGTAGAGGAAGATGTTAGCTCAGGGCATATCTTCCTCAAGCAAAAACAAAAACAAAAAAGAGGAGGATTGGCAATGGATATTAGCTCAGGGTGAATCTTCCTCACCAAAAAAAAAAAAAAAGAAGAAGAAGAAGCAGGTCTGTTGTGAGTAAAACTTGCAAAGCAAATAAGTAAAGGGGTGATTACTTGTAACTGTATCTGTTATGTGTACTCTAGGATCCCAAATTCTTCTTAATGCTTAATCAAAGAGATGAAAATAATCTTCAGTACTATTTTAACTTTTGTATATTTAGTGTTTTTGAGTTCTTTGAAATTTGTTAAGGCATGCCTATGGCACTTGACTAAAGTGGTTATTAGCACGTTTGATTACTACATTATTAAATTTTCTAGTTTGGTTATTGAGGCATTCTTGGTTTTAATAAATCAGTCACTGTTGAGGGTCTGTGTTCACTTTTTCCGTCCTGTCAGCTACGTTGTGCTGTAGAGGAGAGCCAGGTCAGGCCTACAAGATTTGTTTTAGCAAGCTGTAGGGCAGAGACTTGACCTTTTAGCCGTGAATGAGAGCCAACAAATTCCCTGTCCTGTAGGCAGAGAGCAGTTAGGGAATACGCCATGTTCAGAAGCTATACAAAATGGTTCAGAACCGTTTTCTGGCCTTTTCTTTAGTTCGTATCCTGAAAAAGGCAGTTGAGTTAAAAAAAAAAAAAAGAATCAATTGGCATCTAAAAAAGTAGATATGGACAAGAGTATGCTTTTCCTACTGCTCAGGCCTGGTCGTCTCTATTAGGTCTGTAAATATACACCTATATCACATTTTTAATGGCTGCAGTGTTCCGTGGTACTATTAGATCATGACTTACTTATCTAAACAGATAATTTTGTAATCCTAAGTAACATTGTCTTAATATCTTTGTCTGTATTTTTGCTATTCTGTGATTATCTTCTTAAGATTACATTATGAAGTGCTGTGTTTCCAACAAATAGGCTGATTCCAGTTTTCAATTTTTTATCTCCTCTAAGAAATGACATCACTACAGTGACTTAAAATTTTAGAATATTATGACTTTCAAAAATTACATGCAAAATAAAGCAACTAGATCCTCATTGTCATTTGAGTTATAGTATTCCCCAAAGAGTTTGGATTTAACCTATCCAGATACAAATGCGTTTTTCATATATTAGTTTCTAATTGAAACACTCTAGTCTGATGTTTCATACTCTCCCTCATTTTTGTAGTGCATGAAAGCCTCAGTGATGTGGTGTGTTCTCCACGACATTTTGCTTTTGCAGCTCTCTTGGTTTAGCTCTAGTAATCATGTTGAATAACTGCAAGTTGAAATTTTATTTTTGTCCCTCATGTTTGCTCCCCTGGGAGACTGCATTCCCTGTAGAGTTTGCTTTGATATAATGACTGTTACTCAGATGAGGGTCAGGAGGAGATACAGGGTGAGACTCACCTACTGTGGCAGCATGGGTAGGTTGAGTTACTTACTGCTTTTGCCTTTAACCAAAAGTTTTTCTTCTTTGTTTTCACTAAGGCATGTCACATCTAGGACACAGTACACATCAAGTTAGAGCAATTGTCATTTTTTACAGGTTTTGCTGTTTGAGTGAAAACAAATGGCCCTGGTAGATCGTCAAGCATAGGGTTATTGGAGGCTGCACGTTACACTCATGTGTGTTAATCCCGGCTTCTAGCCAACTAGTACCTTTCCATTAAGGTTGCTTTCAAATATTTTTGTGTGCTTTTGCTTCTGAAGAGCTGCAGTAAGATCAGACAGAACCAAGAAGGGTTTATTGCTGTCATTCCCTGACATGTCACAGAAGTATAGGCATATCTCATAGGGTCGTCTTGAGAATTAAAGGAGACAATTTTTAGGAGAGTGTCATGTAACTATAAAATGCTGTACAATGCTTAGTTATATTTATTTTCACAAATTTCTTTCTTTGTGTCCTGAATTTTTACATACTGAATATTTTATGGCTTGAAGCTTTTTATCATTAATATGTATATATATCACTAATATATATAGTATGTATATATTCAACATAGTGTCTACACATTTGAGATAGTTTACAGGAAATGTCATAAAATAGGTTTTAATAATAATAATAATAATAAAATGCCACCCCGAGACAAAAAAGCCCAAGAGCAACAAGAAAATCCCAGTAACCCAGAAAATATAAATCTTTTACATGGAAGAAGCAAATCTATTTAAGTACCTAGACTATTGTAGTTAACTTCTTGCTCAATTATAAAAACTATGTAATCCTCTTAGCTTCCTCAGAGGCTTTATCTTAATTTGTTTTTGGGAGTGGTGATCCAAATTCAGTTCTTTTAAACTTTTCAAAAACACCTTATTGAGCTATAATTCACGTACCATGCAATTGACTCCTTTAAAGTTTACAAATTCATTGGTTTTAGTTTATTCTCAGAGTTGTGCAGCCATCACCACAATTATAGAACATTTTTATCACCCCAAAAAGAAACCATGTCCCCATTAGCAGGCACTCTTTATATTCATTTCTGATTCTTTATTTGCAGTAATTCTTATATGATTTAGATGTTTTTATCTACCTGCCTTTCCTTTAATCTTCCTGTTTCTGTTCCCTGCAAATTTCCACCCTCCTTCTCCCATTAAGTAGCTAATAATTTATTAAAAAACAAGGCTAATTAGAGAGCCGCTGGTTTGGAGAAAGCTGGAAGGAATAATAGAGGCTTTTGTGATGTATAAATTCTTCCTTCTAATCCTAGTGTTTTAAAAATTTCGGTTTTAAACATTGGTTCTTAAAAGTGAATAGGACACTTTTTTCTCTTTAATGGATTACAAAAGATAGCCCCAGGAAGTCCTTTATTTTACTGCCAGTTGTTAACTTAGCTAAATTATTGCCAGATGGATCTGCAGAAGCTCTTCCTGAAAATTAGTGCCCGTTGGGCTAGCCATGGTCTCTGTAATTCTGTCTTTCTGTAAATAAATCTCAAATAGTCCCCTTTTTAAAAAGAATCTACGTCTGGAAGGGATAGCACATAAAATTATTATCTGCCAACAACATATTAGCGTGATTCGTTTTACCAGCTTACCCACACAGCGGAGTTCTGAGGGCTCGGTTACTCAGCTGAGGGATGTATCACAGGGAAGGAGTGCGAGGGCAGGTCCAGACTGAGATGGTGATTGATGAGGGTGTGGTATCTGGGATGGGGTGGGCAGCTCTAAAAGGCAGGAGAGAGATGAAGATAAGGAAGGTGAGAACAGATTAGATTTCGCCATGAGATAATCATAACTGTTGCATTTACTCAATTATCGAAGCCCAGATTTTATAAGGTATACAACCATTAATTTTTTTTAAGCTGCATCGTTAAAATCATTCAAACACACTGAGGGCTAAGGGGTATCCACTCTATAGTACAATATAAAATTCATCTCCAGTGTGACTGAAAAATCATGTTGCTGACCTTCCCATTATTGTAGTTTCTAGGATTAAAATTTATCTTTCAGACTTTATATTTTTTCTGTATATTGTACTGACTGTACCTATTGATTACTTTATTTTAGGTAATAACCACATGAAAGAAGAAAATTATGCTGCTGCAGTGGATTGCTACACACGGGCAATAGAATTGGATCCAAATAATGCGGTTTATTATTGCAACAGGTAAACTGGCACTATTGTTGCATGTTTACAGTTCTAAAAAATTTGCGTTCATAGCTCTGAAGGAGAACTGTAGAACACTTATTTATTTAGAAAATTTTGAAAGTTCAGCAAAGTATAAAGAAGGAAAAAAACTCATAAACTTACCACTTAGAGGTAACCGCTGTTAGTAAGCTTTTGTCATACTTTGTGTGATATAAGTGTAATCGATTTTAGATTCAGGTTTATTACTAGGCATATCATAACCACGTCCTTCGTTTATTGAAATCCTTCATAAATGTTATTTAAACTGAGACAAATTAGTCTATTACCTCTTAATCTTTTTTATATTCCTAGCACCTATTGTTGTGGTTGGCAAAGCAGCACTCAGTGTTATTTTTTAGTAAATACATAGATGTTCCTTAATTTACTTACTTGTTGACCTGCTGGTAGACGTTGAGGTTGTCCTTTTTTTTCAATATCATAAAGCTACCCTGAACATCTTTGTTTCTAAAATTATTTTCTGGACTTCAGATTTTCTAGACTTTGGGTTTATCTTTGAAAATTCACTCAGTAGATCTAACAGTGTATACATTTAAAAAATTGTTGATGCAAATTGTATAATTGTTCCAACTTCTTTGAAAATATTTTGAAAATTAATGTCCTCCCCTAGGAGTGTATGAGTGTATATATTTTTACCACACCCTTATCAGCACTAAGTACTTGAATTATTATTTATTATTGTTAATTTACTATTATTATTATTTTAATAGTAATTGTTCTAATTTACATTTAATTACTGGTGAGCTTAGACATTTTCCCCCCCAGGGAAAATTCACCCTGAGCTAACCTCTGTTGCCAATCTTCCTCTTTTTGGTTGAGGAAGATTTGCCCTGACCTAACCGCTGTGCCCGTCTTCCTCTACTTTGTATGTGGGTCACCACCACAGCATGGCTGTGGACAAGTGGTGTAGGTCCATGCCTGGGAACTGAACCTGGGCTGCTGAAGTAGAGTGTGCTGAACTTAACCACTAGGCCACGGGGCTGGTCCCCTTTGACATTTTTCAAATGTTGGCCATTTGTGAGTTTTTTTCTTGAAGTTATCTGTTTGTACCTGTGCCAGGCCTTACCCTGTTTGACCTTGGACTTTTTTTTTCTCTGTTCTGCCCTTTTTAACAGGGGTCTGACCCCTATAGGCTGCATTTCCCAGACTCCTTTGTCACTGAGGTTTTGTCTGGGTTCAGCCATGGGAGAAGCTGGCAGGAGGCTGGAGGGCAGAAGGGAGAAGTTGGGGGTATTTCTTCCCCTCTTTTTACATCACAGTGTTTATCCAGCAGGGGCTGCTTCTCATCCTTGTCTCGAGGTCCCACCCAAGGTACCTGCTATGGTCCCAGCTTTTGCCAGGTGATGTTGGGTTTTGGGCTCTGCACTTTGTCCTCTGTTTTAGGGATGGTCATGGCTCCCTGCTGTTGCTAGCCTCTGGATTGCTGCACAACCCCCTGTTTGGCATCTCAGCTCTTCTATCAGCTATGTAATCAATTCCCTGCACTAAATTATTCTGATTTAAAGTTCTCATAGAACTTTTTTGCAATGATGAACATAATTTATATCTGCATTGTCCAATACCGTAGGCACTGGCCACAGTGGCTATTGAGCATTTGGAATGTGGCTAGTGAAATTGAGTGACTAAATTTTTAATGTTTAATTAATTGAAGATCACTTTACATTTAAATAGCCACATGTAGCTTGTGGCTACTGTAATGGACAGCATAGCTCTATATTAAAGATATAATCCTTTTGTCCTAATTGCACAGCTTATTGTTTGCCTTTTAATGTTTCTTCATATGTCAAAGTTTTAAATATTTATATAGACAAATTTGGTTTTCTTTCCCTTTGAGCTTTATTCCAATGTTTTTAGGCTTAAAGCTCTTCGTATTTACAGATTTCACAGACTATTTTCTTATTTTTCCTTTACATTTAAATTTTATCATCTCACATCTATTTTAGTATGAGACTGGTATGACTGTTTTAACCAGTCTGAAACTTTTCATAACAGTTCATTATAAAGATTATAAAAATTACCTTTGATTATATAGTAAGTTCTTATATTTGCAAAAGATCTTTAATTTTATCTAATCTTTCACTGAGTTATTCTAACCATATTTAGGGTATTCATACCCTTCTGAGATAGTCTCAGAAGTCTCCCCACCTTTTCTTTTGTTTTTATATCTGTTAGAGAAGTCTTCCTTATCTTGACGCTGAATTTGTTTTCCTATAGCTTCTCTCAGTTGGCCTGATTTTTCTTCTTAAGGGCTATTACAGAATATGTATGATTCTTCTTTTTCATGACAGTACCTGACATTTCGAGGTTTTTCACCATATTCACTTGAGTTCTTTTCTTTTCTTCATGTTAAACGCTTGCAGCTTCTTCAATTAAACTCAGGTGGTACAGCTTGAAGTCCTGCACTTGTGCTCTAAACTTGCTCCAGTTTACCTGTGTCTGTTACTGTGTAGTTCCCAGAAGTTAACACAGTATATCTGACATCAGTCTGGCCAGAACAGTCTTGTATGGCTCTCATTCAACCTATATTAGGATTTCGTAGCATTATTTATTACATTCATATTTTGATTTTTGTTTATTAAAGCCTCTCTTTTTCGCATATTTGCTCTATCCTATCGTTCAATCATATATTCATTTGACAGGTTCTTGCCAAACACCTGCTATGTACCAGCCCTGTCACTGGAGGTAAAAGTTAGTTGTCTGGACTCAAATGAAGGATCTGATATTTTATCACTATAGAATTTTATCTTGTTACAGTCTCTTATTTATATGTCTCTTAACCTTTTGGGATAATTTGTAAAGTAATATATTTGCTTTTGCTCCTAGATTCATGTCGTCCACGAACTGGAGAAGAGTTTTGTATCTTACATTCTATCAGTTACAAAGTCAACCAATGGAGCAATCATAGGGGAGAGGTTAAGAGCAGGGTTCCAACTCAGACTCTTTGAATTCTAATTTCCAGCTCTGCTTCTTACTACCTAAATGGCCTTCAGCAAGTTATCTGACATATCTATGCCTTAGTTTCCCCATTGGTAAAATGTGGATAATAGTATTTACCTCAAAGGATTGTTGTAAAGACCAAATAGTTAATACATGGAAAGTGCTAGGAAAGTGTCTAGTGAAGAGTGTTGGATGCAATAATAGCTACTGTCATTATTTACACAGTCTGGGTTTTTGCCTCAATCGGAATATGAAGAGAGAGCCAAATTTTGGGGAGGTCCACAGATGTTGTCAATTATCTTTCTCTGATTTACCAGTCTGGTGGCAACCCTGTTAAAATAAAATAGAAATTATATTAGTGTGATAGGACTTGTTCTTAATTAATTTATTGTCATTTTCTTTCTTTTTTTGTTTTCAACAATTTTATGAAAATTTTCAAAGTTTGAAGATGTTTACAGTGAATACTCCTATATCCACATATAGATTTTGCTGTTAATCTTCTAGTATATTTGCTATATCACATATTTATTCATCTGTCTGCCTCTCTATTCATTGCTCCATCTTATTTTTGATGCATTTCAAGGTAAATTGCCGCCATGAGTGCACTTTCCCCCTAAATACTTTAGCTTGCATATCATTAGCTAGAGTTCAATATTTGTTTACTGTTTTTTAATTTTGAGGTAAAATTTACATGCAAGAAAATGTACAAATTTTAAGTGTACTTTCACTGAGTTTTGACAGATGCACATGCCTGTATAACCCAAACTCCTATCAAGATATTGAAAATTGCCATCAGCCCAGGAAGTTCCATAGGCCTACAACATTTACTGGAGGCAACCATTATTTTGGGATTTTGGATTTGATTTGTTTCTCTTACAATTTCATATAAAAGGAATCATATCATAGGTACCCTCTGGATTAGACTTTTTTTGCTCAGCATAATGGTTTTGAGATTGACCCATGTTGTTGCCTGTATCAGTGGTGTCCCATTGTTTGAATGTACCCCAGTTTGCTTAGCTGTTTTCCTCATCATGGTCACCTGGGCTGCTTTTAGTTTTTGTTCCTTTCGTATTTTGAACAGAATTTATAGTTATTTGTGAAAGGATGGGATCCATAGGACTTTAGCTGGCCATACTGGAAACTTCCATTTTCTTTTTTCACAAAAAAATCCCTTTATTTATCTGTTCTCATAATCTAGCCCAGAAAAAGAGAAAATCCAAATAATTTGTGAAGAATGAATTCCCCAAGCTGTGGTTTTATGTTTGAATGTTATTCGCTATAATCAGCTGAATATACATGTATTTTAATTTAGCATAAAAATCTTGAAATAAATCCATTTTAATAGTGTCACAAGATGTTATGATGAGCTATGTTATCAGACAATTGCTTATTTATAGAGCACAGTAAGCCATAGACTTATAACTATGAATATAGTAAATCTGAGCCTAAATAAATCATTTATTTTTAATGAGATCAAGGTTCATGAATAATCTTATGCCCACTAGTACTGTATCAGAAGAGATGCTTGGCAATGCCTATGCTTGCTTTTCATTTAATTATTGTTAAATTGAAATGAATAATTATGCTTCTCTTTTGCATTTAAATAGTATCCTTTTCCCTGAGGAGTTCAGTAATAGAGCATGCAGTTTAATATTAAAGAATTAGAAAACTTTATTTGTATATTTAATCAAAATATTGAATAAGCTTTAGAATCTTTTTCTTTTTTAGACTCTAGTAACTATAAATAATATCTCAGTAGCCTGTAGTCTTGCCAACTACCTCTTGCCATTTTTCTTAGCCAGCAGGCTGCCAAGAGTTGGAAGCTCAGAATAGCAGAACTGAATCTTCCTTTTAATATCCATTTCACAGTTTTATTACTAATTAAAATATTGTTCACGTACTAAAGTTGGTAGGATGAAGCAAAGTTTACTTTTTATAGAAGTAACTTTTTTATATGTTAGAAAATGATCAGTTGGCACATTTCTTAACATGAATCTTTCTTTTCTAACATTTGTCTTCTATTT